AGGTGTGCCGGCAGCAGCAGGCACCGGCGGGCAGCCGGGCAGGCAGCATGGCGAGGGACGCCGGTGTCCCCCAGCACCCCGTGGCCTCGTCCTCCCGCACCCCGGGGCAGCGGTGAACGCCGGCGGCCGGACCCCGCAACCCGGCGGGACCATGGAGGGTCCCGAGGGCGGTTACTCAGTGCAGGCCACCGCCGCCATCGCCGCCGCCATCACCTTCTTGGTGCTCTTCACCATCACGGGCAACGTGCTGGTCATCATGGCCGTGCTGAGCAGCCGCTCGCTGCGGGCGCCCCAGAATCTCTTCTTGGTGTCGTTGGCGGCCGCCGACATCCTGGTGGCCACCCTCATCATCCCCTTCTCCTTGGCCAACGAACTCCTGGGCTACTGGTACTTCGAGAAGACGTGGTGCGAGATCTACCTGGCTTTGGATGTGCTCTTCTGCACCTCGTCCATCGTCCACCTCTGCGCCATCAGCCTGGACCGTTACTGGTCGGTCAGCCGTGCCATCGAGTACAATGCCAAGCGGACGCCGCGGCGCATCAAGTGCAGCATCTTCATCGTCTGGACCATTGCCGCCGTCATCTCCCTCCCGCCCTTGGTCTACAAGGGGGAGAAGAAGGCGGCGGTGGGGGGGCGGCCCCAGTGCAAGCTCAACGAGGAGGCCTGGTACGTCCTCTCCTCCAGCGTCGGCTCCTTCTTCGCCCCGTGTCTCATCATGATCCTCGTCTACCTGCGCATCTACCTGATTGCCAAACGCCGCCACCGCTCCCACCCCGCCAGCACCAAACCACCAGCATCGGTGCCACCAAACGTCACCCCCCCAGCTGGTGTGGAACCCCCGGGGACCTGCCCGCCAGCGGACAGGACCTCACTGCTGAGCCCCGAGGAGCCCCCGACGTCCCCCAAGCCTGGGGCAGGGACATCCCCGCAGCCCGGGGGACGCCCCAGGGACACCTTGGCCACCGGGACGGGGCAGGTGGTGTTAGCACATCAGCCGCCGGCATTGAACCCTTGGAGGAGGAAGACTCAGATCAACCGGGAGAAACGTTTCACCTTTGTCTTGGCCGTGGTCATCGGCGTCTTCGTCCTCTGCTGGTTCCCCTTCTTCTTCCTCTACAGCCTGGGTGCGCTCTGTCCCCAGCGCTGCAAGGTCCCCGACGGCATCTTCCAGTTCTTCTTCTGGATCGGTTACTGCAACAGCTCCCTCAACCCTGTCATCTACACTGTCTTCAACCAGGACTTCCGCAAGGCTTTCCGACGCCTCCTCTGCCGCCGCCGAGCCCCAACGCCCTGGTGAGGGGCTCCGGTGAGGGGCTCTGGCTACCCCCTTCCTTCCTCCTCCTCCTCCTCCAGGCTGCGCTTGCTGCCTGGAGCATCCCTTGGGTTTGGGGTGGGGGAGGCTTCGAAGCCCCCCCCCAAGGCGTCGCTGTGTCCCCCCCCCCCCGCCACTGACGCCTGCCTGCCCGCTGCCTTCTCTCGCTGCCAGATTTCCCATGGGGACCCCTAGAGACCCAGGGAGCGGGAGCAGGGCGGGAGCCACATGCCACCACGGTGCAACCCCTGCCCCCAAGCCCAGTGGCATCCCAGCAGACCCCCTCCCAAAAGGTGGTGCCGCGGCCTTTTAACAATAAAAGATATTTTGTAATAAGAAAAAAATTCACTTTTTTCGGGGGGGAAACGGGGTGTCATTGTTGCCGTCCCCCCCCCATCCCTGGGGACTGCTGGGGACAAGAGCCATGGCCCGTGACAGCCAGCAGCACGGCCGGGAGGAATGCATGCTGGCGGAGCGGGAACACGATGTCTGGGAGGGGGCAGTTATTTATGGCAGCGCCCGGGAAGGAATAAATAATAATAATTAAAAAAAAAACCAACCTAACCCCAAACAACCCCAAAGAATAAATCTCTGCAGCTGCTGGCCCCCAGGACATTCAACCGGATGGTGGACAGGGACAGAGCCCAGTGTCGGGGGACTCCAATGGCGTGGGGATTCATGGGTGGCTCATATAGGGGATTCGCAAGGGTCTTGTATAGGGTTGTGCTGCCCACCCAGGGTGAGGGTGACATGTGTCAGGGGCCACGGGGGGGGGGGGTGTGGGTTGTGACCCACTCTGGGGTGTTGTGACCCACTCTGGGGTGTTATAACCCACACCAGCATGACCCACACTGCCATATCATGACTGACACCATGGTATCATGACCCACACGGGTGTAACCATGGGTCACAGTGGAGCATCGTGACCCTTGCTGGTGTATTGTGGTTCGTGATAGTGTATCGCAACCCACAGCAGGGTATCGTGACCCACACTGCTGTGTCATGACTCACCATGGCATGCTGTGACCCACACCAATGTGTTGTGATTCAGACTGCTGTACCATGACTCACAGTGGTACACGGTGACCCATGCCAGCATATGGTGACCCTCACCGGGTTATCATGACCCACACCAAGGTATCGCGACACACACTGGTCCATCGCAACCCAGACTAGTGCATCATGACTGATGATGGTGCATGATGACCCTCACCACCATATGGTGCCCCACGCCAGTATACAGTGACCCACACTAGTGCATGATGATCCACACCAGCATATGGTGACCAGCATGCTGGGGGATACGGCCAGGGACAGCTCGCCTCTGCAGTGGCGGAGCCAGCCCCATCTCCCTGCCCCACTTCGGGACTTCACCTCCATCCACCCCGAAACCGGCTGAACTTTAGGGAAGCCCTTTCCCAGCCCGGCTGCTCTCCTCCTCCCCAATGAGCGCAGCATGGCCGGTGGCCATTGGCCCATCCAGGCGCGCTGGGAGGATGCTTGGGGTGGGAGAGGTCGTGCGAACGGGGCCAGGGCCGCGGGGCTGTGCACGCCGAACCGCTGGACCCCCGCCAGCCCAGCCCCGGGCCGGCTGGACCCAATCCCGGCCTCTGGCGCTGCATCGTGCTGCGGCTCCCTCTGCCCCACAGCTGCACCCGCGCCGGCTGCTTGGCACCCTACG